CTCGAAAGTCGCGAAGAGATAAAAGAAGTGCGCAAAGTTCTGCGCTGGGGTCGATTGGCTGACCCAGTCATCCTCCAGCACATTATCGCGTGACATCTTGGATCCAGTAAATGGTGTTTGCAGGACAATGTAGACGGCGAGGCCAAACGAGAAGACAGAGTGTACCAAGCGCCAGATCCACGCTGAGGATTGCTCTGGCAGCGGCTCAGAGGCACCGGCACCACCCTGCATGGCCGAGAACATACTGGCAAGATCGGGTGGCATGCCGCCTGGTGGTGCACCGCCTTGACCTGGGGCACCGGGCATGCCAGGCATACCGCCAGCGCCTGCGCCCATCATCTGCTGGAGCATGGCCATCATGGGATCCTGGGACGCATCCGAGTCAGGGCCTGGGCCGAATGGGCCGGACTGGCCACCCTCGAAAGCGAATGGCGAGGGGAGACGAGGCTGCGATGCCGGCGCGTAGTGGTGTTGCGAAATATCCACCTCATCTGGATCTGGAGTAGCCGTGCCAGACCCAGCGGGTGTAAACTGGGACGGGGTGGAAGCGGGTTTGACTAGAATGCCATTAGCCGTGCATTCACGCTGTTGTAGGACGGAGCTAGGGGGGACTATGTGGAGGCTAATGTATTCCAAAGGGAGGAGCCGTTACCTGGCACGTCTTTCTCGAGTTCGCTGAGCGGCTTTGGTGGGCCGCCCTGGAGAGCAGTAATCTGCTGGAGACGTGAGGCGCCGGATTTGGCAGCCAGCCGCTCTCTGCGCAGTCTGGCCTTGGTCTGGGCGGGAGACTCGCCGGGAAGCGCGCTAGTCGCGGAAGCGGGAGAATCAGCCATGACTGCGGTGGGGTGATGTAGAGAGTTGAGCTGTCGCGGTAGTTATCAATCGTGATCGCAGCCCTCACTATTGTTTGGAGGGGCTGAGGTCATGGCTTGGCACGAAACTAGCGGAAGGCGCGACGGAACGTCGGTATCTCCCCGCTAACACTGGCACTATCTGCACCTCTTCACATGAACGGCGACATGCCGAGCGTCTCCTTGCCACTCCCGACGTTTGCTAACCTCTCACTCGATCGCAACACTATTGCGAAGTTTGCCATCCCGACAGCCTGGGTCACTATCGCCCGTCACACGCGCGGTACGGGCCGTGTGATGTCCATTTGCCGGTCATCTTTGACCGATTAGGCTGGCCAGCACTCCTGCTTCTGGTGGAGTCGCTTTAGCTTACGACTCTCTTACGAACATTGCAGCCCAAAGGATTCCGCGGATGCATCTTCTATGTCCACTCAACATACGAGGAAAGCTAATGCAGTATTCGCCTGCTGTACCACTAACATGCATGCCGCTTGCAGCTTCCGGGCCTCTGGCTTGACCCGAGGATCGGGCCCATGGGAGGAGATATGGAAGCGATCCTTGTAGACCTGCGGTTTTCTTGCATGTCGGTCCCCAGTTCCAGCCAGTACAGGATGGACTACTGTGCTTCGTAAGCCCCTTTTCGATACGCATCCTCGCCTCCTGCCAGCTATTACTCAAAGTTATCAGATTGATCCTGGGACCCATGATGGCCGCCGCATGGGAAATCTGTATCAAGCGATATTGTGATACGAATGCCCTGCCAGTGTCATTCACCATTCTTCTGGTGCTGGCGCCGTGCTATGTTTTCTCCACTGGGCGTTTCCGTCACTATAACCCCTATACACACCATGCGGACCATGGCCAGTTACTGCTCCTCACCCACATGTCACCGAATTCGTTAAATCGCTGTAGCGCTACACCCGAATAGGTCATGAAGGATGGCCTTCAGCAAACTCGATGCCCAAACACATCCTAGAGATCTCCTGCATTCGATAACGAATCGAACTTGGCGGTAGTCGAGCGTGCCTGCCCAATTCTTTGAGATTGCAAAAGACCCACTTTAGCGGTTGCTCTTGCTGCTGTCGTAGCACAGCATCTATATCGCTCCTACCTAGACGACGAGGCGAGCGACAGCTCCTTCCACCGGGTTGTGCAACGGGTGTGACGCGCTCGATAAACACGTTCCCTACTCTTGAAAATTTATTTCTAGCTTTGGTTTCGTCCCAGCCCTTCTTCCCACGTCCCTCCTTCTTGTGACATTCACCTACCGACATGTATCCAAGAATGTTTGTTCCAAGCACCATGGCTGGGAGACAACCTTTCCGGTCGGGTTTCGCTCACGCAGCACGTCTACTATCGCATCACAGAACTCAATCGACCTTGGCCGCTCAGAAGCCCTACTGGGATCACATCCAACCATGGAAGGACGTCTCCGCAGAGGAATTCATCTCTTATAGATGGCAGGTACGTCAATACCAATCTCTTTGGATCCCCGTGATATACGTTTCGATACAGGACTGACTTTCTTAGCTTCGCAATACCGTCTCCGATAAGCACAAGCTTTATCAGTTCCTCAATACAGCTTTGCCCGACAAACTACTGCGCTCGCAGCATGATCAACTCCGGAAGATTCGTACGAAGAACGATTTCATTGAGGATGCTGTACGTACCTTAGAAGCTCCCCCTACATACGTGTTGATGCTCATCTGGATACAGATCGCTGCTATCAAGCTGGCCCCCATGGCCATCCGCCTAACACCACACGTACTCTCGCTTGTTGACTGGCAAAACGCCGTAGATGATCCTATCCGGCGACAATTCCTCCCACTTAGAAGCGGAATCATCCCCGATCACAAGAACATGGAGCTGGACTCCTTGCACGAAGAAGCAGACAGTCCCGTCCCTGGATTAGTCCACCGATATCCTGGAAGAGCTTTGTTCCTAGCCACATCAATCTGCCCTGTCTACTGTCGCTTCTGTACGCGATCCTACGCGGTGGGAGGAAACACCGATACCGTATCGAAGAAACCACAAAAGCCCAGCCGCAAGCGATGGGAAATCATTTTCGATCATATCGCCAACGATGAGTCGCTCGAAGACATTGTTGTTTCCGGTGGTGACGCCTACTTTTTGCAGCCCGATCACATCAAAGAGATTGGCGAGAGACTACTCAACATTCCGCACATCAAACGGGTCCGATTTGCTTCGAAGGGACTGGCCGTAGCTCCCGGTCGCATACTTGATGATAGTGATCCATGGGTCGACAGCTTGATTGAAGTATCTAACAAAGGTCGAGAGTAAGTGATTCGTCTACCCACCTATGTGTAATGAGGCTAATATAACTGCGCAACTTCCAGCATGGGCAAGCAAGTCTGCCTTCATACCCACATCAACCACGCCAACGAGATCACGTGGATAACGGAGCTTGCTGCGAACAAGCTGTTCAAGCATGGTGTTATCGTGCGCAACCAGTCTGTCCTCTTGAAAGGCGTCAACGACGACTTCGGGCCGCTGTCAGATCTCATCAAGAAGCTCTCAAACATCAATATACAGCCGTACTACGTCTACCAGTGTGATATGGTGCAGGGCATCGAAGATCTCCGGACACCTCTCAGCAAAATCATCGACCTCGACAAGGAACTCCGAGGAACTCTGTCCGGCTTCATGATGCCGTCCTTCGTTATCGACCTCCCTGGAGGTGGTGGCAAGCGTCTTGTCTCTACATATGAGACATATGAGGACGGCGTTGCGGAGTACAAGGCGCCTGGTCTTCCGGGTCTCAAAGGTACGAGAACATACACGTACTTCGATCCGAAACCTGTTGAGTCAGCCGTATTGGAAGAGTTCCGACAAGGCCAAGTCCAGGCCCTCGAGAGGGGTGAGACGCTTGAGCAGTTCTTTGCCAAATCACCTCCCCGCCCACCGATCCCTTCTGGGCCGATGCTGCCTTCGCCAGAGCAATCTCCCCGGCCATATCCAGGAATGACGGTGGAGCGACCTCAGCCATGGACACATGAACAAGCGGGGACGGAATCAGCGTATGCATGATCACATGATATGCATTTCCTGGTCGCCTACACTAGCGACAGGGCTATCGTTTTTCTCAACTATCCAGGCGCGGCATTCGAACATAGACATACATTGATGACGAAACGGCCACATACCATGACGGCCGCTACCCTTGATCCCCACCTGGCTCAAACAGGATACGATCTGACTCAACGTTTCATATAACCTTATAATATTCGCTCACTTCTTTGTATCCGTTATCGTCTTACATCTTCTTCCACCGTCCGTTCTTTGTATCAAGAATGGTACTGCAGATACTGCGCAAAAGTTTGACCAATCTACATCTTACATCTACATAGATAGATCCATATTGAAATTCACCCTTTGTTTCTCATGCCACAGACTATTAATGCCCCGTCTCCACCAGTGCTACGGATGTAAAACACATGCCTCCGTGTGCGACCATCGCCATCGCCGTGTGTTATATTTCAAGGAAGGCTTCTTTGTCACAGCTTGTTGATCGCGCCTTCATGCACGCTTCGGCGGATAGTCTGCTTATAGAATTCGTTCAACGCATGTCCACCACCAACCCACGATCACACGTTCTCAAGCGCCCATCTTAAAAGGCAACATGCCCGAAACTAGCTGCCTAGCTCTCAAAACATATAAACCCTCCTCAGGATACCTTCCCCGCCGCGAAAGTGCACGTGGTGATCGTGGCTGAAACTTTCCTGTTTTCCTGCTAGACTCTGATCGATGCTTTACATCTTCTGACATGTACCAGAGTGTCGTTTAGAACCACGAGGCCTGGATCGGGGCCTTTTGCGAAACGTACATATGACGACATTGGCAAAAAGATCTGTAGTTATACTATCACTACGAGGTGAAAAGGCACAGGGCTTGCGAAAGCTTTATATGATCTGTAGATCAGCGCGCGTAGTGTGGCCTGTATACACGAAATTAGGTTGAGAAGATGAAGTTAGGACTGTTTTCGTTTTGTGCTACCGTGTTTATCACAGCAGGCACACTACAGAAGACATTTGAAGTAGTAGTTGTTTGAATAACATTAAGAAACGAATTAATAATTATGACGAGGCTTTCCCGCCTTTCTAAGCTCTGCACCAGCACGCTATTACTTTCCTAGCACCCCAGATAAAAGTCATCGACGCGGAAATCCTGAGCACCGTCTGCAGTGAAGAAGCATCGTAATCGCCCGCTGGTTCCCGTAGCCACAAAGGTATTTCCGAATCTGCTGGGTCCTGAAATCCAGGTGTTGACACGACCGTCACTCGTGACACTCTTAGAATCGAGTCCTACGGGCATAGCGCAATTGATAGAACTAGCTGAAGATCCCTTGACGATGTATTTGTACGAGAAGGTGTAGGTAACGCCTTTGGTCAGACCGTTGATTTGTTGGTCCAGATAGATGCCGCCTTGGTTTTTAAAGACGACTAGATACGATACGCGGCCGCTGAAGCCACCAGTAGTCAGTCCATAAGAATCTGCTACGCTGTTGCTCCATCTGTTCGATTGCCAATAGTACTCCCCAGAACTTTCGAAGCCAGGGTTATTGATGAGGTTGACGCCACGAGCAGTGCAAGTGGGCACTGCGGCAACTACCGAGGTAACGATGGTAGTTTGAACAGGCAGAGTAGTGGTGGTCTCTACGGTGCCGGAGCTAACGGTCGCAGTGGTCGTAGTAGACATCGTAGTGGTTTCAGTGACGGGGGTAGCTTGGAGGCTGCAGGCTGCAGAGACAGCACTGGGAGCAAAGTCGGCAAGAGCGGTAGGCGTATCCTGAACGGCGACCTCGCGCTTTTGGGGAGCTTGAGTGACCGTTGTGGTGGTCGTGGTCACAGGCGCATCGGTGACAACAACAGTCGTAGCGGGAACAGTGGCAGTCTCAGTGGCGATCACAGTCGAAACTTGAGTCGTGTATCCAAGAAGAGTAGAGCAGAACGGCTGTAGCGACGAAGCAATGATGGCGGACTTTGCGGCAGCAACATCGCAAGGAAGCTTAGGCTTTCCAGGATCAGCGGTGTTGGAGTAGGAGTAGCTGGAAGCAATCGTGTAGTGGTCGTCTCCACGGTACTGGCCATCGTTGACAGCAACGCTCTTCGCCCATTTCTGGGTGTACATGGAGCAGTATTGGCCTTGGGGCTCGCCGTTCTTCATCAGAACGTAGGTGTTGAAGAACTTGCACAGCATGCGGCTGTTGAGGTGCTCGACGTTCCATTTGGTCTCGGCTGCGCATGCGGCGGCGCAACGGGCGGGTTCGAAGGGCTGACCGTCGTTGAAGAGCTTGTAGCCCATGTACTAAACTGAAGTCAGCGGCTGTTTGTGAACGAGGATGATGAAAAGTGCTTACAGTATCGTCGCCGTTGCAGTCGTTTGGGGCGTTGATGGCGACGTTTCCAAGAGACTCGCCGCTGTAGCCGTCTACAGATACCACACGCTCGCTGTCATAGCCTAAAATCTGTTAGTAAGTCTGCGGTTCAACCCTGCTAAAGGTTCATGGACATACCGTTCGATCCAGCAATGACTACGTGGAAATCCGCGCGCCACTGTCCGCTGTTGACAGCTGTTTCGGCGGTCACAGGGCTGCCCCACAGTACACACTTGATGACTGTGGTGCTAGCGGGGTTGGAGCAGGAATCGGCGGGAACTACAGAAGGGTCCCTCTCGTAGACTGTAGACAATGTCAGTAAGAGGGAGTCAGGTAACGCTTCGGGGAGTAACACTTACAGATGTTGAACGCTGAACATCCTTCCTTCTCAGTGCAAGAGTCGGCACAGGCTTGAGTGTCGTAGGTATCCAAGGTCTTGTAACCAAGATATGCCACGGCGTTGTTGCTGCCCTTCAGGTTCTTGAACTTGTTGACATAGCCAGTCGGTGTTGAGGCATCAGTAGCAGCCTTCGAGATCTCTTCCATGACAAGGAAAGCTTCCGGAGAGTCGGGACTTGGAACTGGTCCTTTTCCGAGAGGCTGTTCTGAGCAGTCCCAACCTCTCCGCTTTAGTGACTTGTCGGCAGATGCAGGATCCGCAAGGACAGAGGCGAATGTGTCGGCAACCACAGCATCAGGAGAGTACGGAACGACCTTGGTACCAGCACCCTCACCAAGCGGAGTCTCGGTGATTGGCGCGGCGGGTATCTCAGCGACCTCACCAAGAGGAATTGATTGAGGCAGAGCTGCTGCGCAGCTTGTCATGGCCAAAGCCGTGAAAGCGTGAACCGAACGCATAGTGAACGAAGGGGAGGAGTAGAAGGCTGAGGAGAAGATGTCGGCGATTGCTGCTGATGCGTAACTCTGTACCTGGGCACAAACAATCTTAATAGCTGTTCATGTTGGAGGTTCACAACACACTCCAGCGGAGCTGCCGATGCGATAGATCTGTGGCGTTGGTCTCGAAGTATCATGGTGAGCTGAGTTCGACGAGCCTCGTCCCCAGATTCTTTCAGCCCGTTCGAATGTGCAGATTGGACAAGGGACTAAACTCGCGTGATGGTAAGAGTGTGTACATAGGCGAGTATGCCAAGCGCAGACCAACGATAGCTGGACTTGGCCTCGAAGTGCAGGGCTGAAAAGATGTTCCCAATCTGGTAAGACGAGTACTTAGGCTTGCCATGACTAGAGTGAATGCGGAATCCAGCAGTCTCGTGGGAGACGAGGTGTCGCTCCATCAATCCGAGATCTCGGGAGGATTGTCTGGGGACTCGGGCGTGAGCGATGTTAGCGGCGGCATTTCACCACGTGCGCGCTGAGAGTCTTGCCGAAGCCTTCCTCACTTGGGCACTACCTCTTCGTTGTTCAACCCGATGCAGCACAAGGGAGGTGAAACTAAGTTCTTTTCCCTGGTGAAAGTGTACACATCGAGGTAAGCGAGGATGGCTACCTTTATTGGTGGCTTGCTGGCGCCTCAGAGCGGCTCGTGCCTGAAACTAAAAGAAAAGGTCCGAGCCAACAGCCTCTTCAGCCTCGGTGGGCTCAGGCTTCCCCACGACAAATGCACACTAATTGGCAAAGCGACATCTAGGCCATCGATGGAAACACCGGAAAAGAGTGTGTGTTGTTAAGTCTAACTGCTGTTTGCCATGGTGGTCTCGTCTCGCGCCGGTCACCGCCGCATGCGCCCACGGACGTTCACGGGAAAAGCACTCGGTACCATGACCTTGGGACGGCAGTAGCAAGCCACAAGACGACGATAGACGCAAGGCTCAAATCTATGTCAAACAGAACCCACGTCAACATCGCATCCTCGCAACTTCCTGCTCCCGAGGTCTGTTTGAATGGTAACGAGCTATACAAGGGCTGCATAGATGCGTTGGAATTTCCACCAAGTCTTGTGTATACAAGGCTTGAAAAAGGGTCTTCACGCACCAAGGGCGCCAGCGCAGAACAAGCGGGAACTCCGCATACAAGCGAGGACCGTGGCTACCTGAGTATCTCAGTCTATCCCCTTACTCGTGATGAGCACGACAAAGGTCTAACGCCACCGGCGTGCTCGCTGGGAGAAGGTCAACACGAACTTGATGCAAATTTGTGTCTGGGGATGGCTGTGGATTCGAACGACGACACTAGCATTCGTTGTCGTGTATATGTCGCTCTTCATGGCGTTCAATCACTAAATGCATGCAACGACTTCAAAGCATACACATGAGTGCTTGAGGTCTCTGTATCAGTGGATAGCATGTTTCGTAGTACAAACTCCCAGGAGATTATACCACGAAACACGCTATCCACTGATACAGAGACCTCAACTCCCAAGAACCCCACCTCTCACAACCCCCTAGCCAACTTCGCCGCCGTCTTCAACCCAGTCCCAGGTCTCACATCCCCAACCCACATACTCTCCGCATCACCATCAATCCCCTTCCTCGCCTTCTCAAACGTCTCTTCCATCTTCGTCCTCAACCCGCCCTCCTCATCAATCCCACTATCCTTACCCCACAGCTCCAACGCCCTTTCCATATCACCACAAGCAAAGATATACTCGCCCAAAGCCATATGCACGGTACCAAGCACATACCACGTCTGCGCCCTCTCACGATCCGTGAAGAAAGAGGGTTTGTTGGGTGGAATCAGCTCCACGGGGATGGAATGGAACCAAGGGTTTGAGGTAGGGGAAGGAGCGTCGCATGCCAGACTGAGGGCTTGAGAAACTGATTTCTCGGCTTGCAGGAGATCTTTCGCTGCTTTCCTGATCTCGTCTGTTGGGTTCGAAGTTCGCAACCAGTGCTTCGTTGATGTGAGACCCCGGAGCGGAATGGAAAGACTGATGCCGAGGCCCAGTTCTGTCTTCCAGCGTAGTCGTTGCATGGACTTGTTGAAGTCCTCCTCTTGGGAATGAAGTGTTTCGGCATGCGTCAGGTACCCATACGTCAGCGCGATGATAGTAGCTTGAGCATACTCGTTCGCAAGCGTGTACTCTTCCTTCTCTCTCGCTTCGTCCGCTAGATCAGCCAATTCCTGTACACTACCCATATACGCCTCTGCCGTAAACTTCTCGTCCATCATGTTACTGGACAGACCCTCCGCGTACCGCGGAAGCAGATTCTGGCCATCAACTTCCACCTTGCCAAAACCGCTCATTAGACGGAACAGCTCGAGCAGATCACCCTGTAGTTTTGACACGGGGAATCCATACGTGTTTACCACGTTGAGGAAGAGACTGCGTCCTTGAGCCCATGTCTTTGTTGCGCGGCTTGCTTGGTCAAGGAAGTTGATAAGCCGGGGGAGGTATTGGGCCGGGAACATAACAGAAGCGCGTTTCTGCGCACTGTTCTTCTCCACAAGGACGATTTCAAGGGCGTGGCGCGTGCTCTTCTCCACTACCTCACTCTTCGCCGTCGAGAAAAGCAGCCCAGAGTCCTCGAGCAACGTCTTCGCGTGCCGGGCGTCGCTTGTGTAAACATCGAATCTGACCCACAGATTCTTCTCGTAGAAATACGATAAAGCATCTTTGCTTATCTCCTTATTAACAAGAAACAGCGCTGTGTTCACGGGGAAGGGGTTGCGTGACGCGGAGAAGGTCAAGATGCCTTCGTCTTTGGAGATGGTGTGCGTGTAGGACACGTTGGGTGCGCCGTGGTTCACAAGTTCGGTGTCGAGACAGTGCTTGTAGATGTTGTTGCGGACTGATGCGGGGAGGTCGGTTAAACCGAGAGGCCGCTTTCGTGGAGTTTCGGTGAGGGACGCCGCTTTCATTTTGGTGGCGAGCGTGTTGGCGGTTGCTTCCATTGAGTCGCTCTTTTCGGCTGGGATTGGGGCGGTGGTTGCCATGGTTGGATTTGGGGGGTTGGGAGGGCTTGGTTTGATGTTAGTTGGGTTGAACGGACTTCGCGACTTTAAGTTGTGATATCTTCCAATAGCATTGCTTTTGCTTTTGCTGCTTACCTGGTTTCAGTAGCTGACCGAATGCTGTGATTCAAGTTGGTGATCGTGCTGGTCAACTTCAGGCCGCTGAACGCGTTTCGCAAGCTCAACAACGTCTAATGTCAACTCAATTGATCAAGAAGCAACCAAAGAGGAACGAATATGATCCTACGAGCAAGCATGAGCTCCATTGCGGGGTTTTATAGCTATCCCCAGCTACAGAGGGGTACCTGCCATCAAGTGCGGGGAAACAAGGATACATGTGGAGATCACCAGTACATGCGCGTGCGGATCCGAGTATGTTCCGCTCTCAACTTATAAGCTTTCTGGCTATACAACTACACAGCCAAAGTACATGCGTAGTGCTGATGGCACGCGCACGTGAAAGGTGCGGGGAAGCTCTGGTCCGCCCAATCGGCCGCTAGCCATCTCCGCGGGGTTGAGCCTCATTGTCAGGTACGTACATGTGTCGATCTACTCTACGAAAGCGGTAAACGCCTTGAGCTGCCTCGTGGCCTTGAACTCTAGCTCTACACCTGGAGCGACAAAGAAGATGTAGCCGGCGCTTAGCTTGTATTCCTTGCCGTTGCCCTTCATGGTGCCCTCGCCTTCGGTCACGATCATGACACTTGGTCCACCGAGCGACCGGATCGTCTCGGAATCGCCATCGCCCATGGTTGTGGCTAGCATGCTGAATTCGCTTAGAGGTGGCGCGTACAGCTGCGTCTTGCCGTTCTTGCTTCCATCGAAAGGCTTTGCTGGTAGGATCGCCTCCTTGGCATCATGTGGTGTGAATGTCAAACTTGAGCAGAACATGTCGATGTTGTCGCGGTCGGCGCGTGGGCAGAAACCAGTGTTCAAGACGTTGTTTGATCGGGCCATGCACTCGATGATATCACCGGAGAGATATGCGTGGATACCGTCGGCGGGAATGTAGATGCTGTCGCCAGCCTTGAGCTGGAGGTAGTTCATGGTGATGAGAGCAACAAGGGTTCCGTTGTCGGCCTTGTCGTACTGCTCAGCCAAGCGAGGGATCATGTCTGGGATGTAGCTATGTTCGCCAAATTGCTCCTTTGGGATCTTCATGAGTGCGTCGTTGGTTTTGCGTACAGCGTCCTCGGATGCCAGCAGCATTTCCTTGACAACGTGCTTCAGAGTCTGGTCGTCGAACTCAGGCTTCTTGACTTCTGGAAGGAAGGCCTGGAGTGGTGGTAGCTGCATCAAGCGCTCGATGTCTTTCAGCTGCTTGAAGCCACAGAAGGCCTCGAAGTCGCCAAGAGCCAACGCGATCTCTGGTTTATGGTTGGGGTCGGTGAACTGATCCGGGTTCTTTGCGTGTAGCTTGGAAGCCAATTCTTTGTTCTGATACTGTGTTAGTTGTGGAACAGATCGATGTAGAGACGAACATACTGGGTGCAGTTGCAGAGGTAGTGCCTTCGCTATCGACAAGACCTTGGGCAGATATGGCAGCTTGGTGTGGTTGAACTTCTCGGCAGTGGTCTTTCCCACAAGCTCATCAGGGTGTCTGTCGAGCACTTTTTGGAGGTCCTCGCCAGTCTCTAGAACATATGAAGGTAATTCGGGATATGTGCCCATCCACCTGAACATGTTAGACTGCATTCGACAATGTAGTTCTGGCAACTTACATCTCAGCGTAACTTGTGTTCTCGTCAATCTTGAATTGTGTGCCTGGAGTCTTCTCGCACAAAGTCGCCGCCAGCGACTTTGAGCCCTGCTTTCCCCACGGGTACTGGTTGCACTCACACCTCAGTTGCATAACCTTTTCGACCATGATTGCGGTTTGCGATTTATTAGAGAAGCTAGGATGTAATGTGATTTGAGAAATTACTCGTGAGTTGGAAGTGAATTGATGCCGGTAAGATGGCGATCCATCGCAGTTTTCTTAAGGGATTCGTCCCTTTACTGTGACAGACAGGCGACGTCATAGCGGGTAACGCAGAAGTAGCTGCAAAGCTATGAGCGTGTTGTATTAGCAAGCAGCCGTCACATCGCATGTGGATAAAGAAAGCGCTTGGCGATTGTACCGAGCTTCCGCTTTAGCTGTGAATCTGTCTTTTTGCTGGAGTTTCCCATGTTGAAGATCTTGACGTAGAACCTCGCGAGTCTTGGCCAGCGCTCCTCGAAGACGTTGTATTCTTCGCATTATCTTGCATCTCACTATCTGGAACCGGAACTACCGTAATTCAATACTGGGAGACTCATGCGATGTTTCTTCAGCGTAGCGCATCCACTATGCGCTCCTTGAAGGTGAAAGTCGGCGAATACGAACGTCTTCGCGGAAAGGCCAAATATCGGCAGCCTTTAGATCCCATATCTGACTGATTGTGCTCGGCAAAGGCATGTGCTAAGTCCGTATCGCCTCTATTCTGGGATGATTGCGGGCTTGGCGAAGCCCATGGTGTGCTATCATTGAAGTTGACGATAGCCCGCTCGAAAAGGAGATAACGCAACGTGGAAGAGTTGCACCACGTGCAAGCGTGGCGTGAAGCAGTAATTCACTCGAGACGAGAAGCACCAACAACAACTTATATGCAAATCCATGTCTAATGCCAAAAGACACGCCGGTACTCAGGCAACGTGACTCCCCTCTCCTCAGCCCGCTGCCCCTGCCCTGCGGCCGCTAAGGCAAGGTCCCTCCTGCCAAGGCCCATCGCATCGCATCCCATGTCGTCGCGTGTCTAGATTAATTCGACCCTTTCCGCGACCGCACAGCATCCCCCAGCCCCAGCCGTGCCCGTCTTCTGCACAGCGGCCGTTCACCTCTTTCGCATAACCTGCAATGTTCTCGTAACGAATTTCCACGCCCAATTCCCGACTTCACGATCTCCAGGTGGCCCATCGCTCGCTCCGCTTTCACCAATCCCGAACCAAACCGCAATTGCGAGTGATCTTCCCGAGACCACGGACGCTTACGACACATCATGCATTTCGCCATGCCCCCGAGGAAAACGTCGCGACCGCCGCCCTATGCCGCCCGCAACCAGAGTGGAGGCATTGCGATTCCGCCTGCGCTCAAGAATCTCCTTCGCAGCCGGGCCGGACGGTTAATAGTCGGCGGTGTACTTGGCTTCTTTGTCCTGATATGGATGCTGAGTGGTAGTGGAGGAACTAGCAGGAGGACAGCTTCTAAAGTTGGGGGTTGGACAGCCGCGAACATACCCAAGCCGTCGATAGGGAGCGGACCGCCCGTCGTGGTGATTACAACAATAGACCCCAAGGCCGATCCGGTCTGGATACAAAAGATCAAGAGCAACAGGGAAGAATACGCCAAGAAACATGGTACGTCTCAACTCTCTGCTCCCGCCCGTTGCGATATCAGAGTAAAGAGCCATACTAACCCCCCGTCCCAGGCTACCTAACCTTCTTCCCCACCGCAGACCAATACCCCATCGGCAACTCCCCCGCGACCTGGTCGCGCGTCCCCGGCACCCGCCACGCCATGACGCTCTACCCTACCTCGACATTCTTCTGGTATCTCGACGCCACAGCGCTCATCATGAACACTGCACTCCCCATCCACACCCACCTGCTCACACCCGCCAAGCTCGAAACCCACATGATCACCAACGCGCCCGTCGTGCCCCCCGACAGCGTCATCAAAACCTTCAGCAACCTCAAGGGCGACAGGATAGATTTCGTCGTTACACAGGACAAGGACGGATTGGCGCCGAGCAGTTTCGTGGTGAGGAACGGGGAGTGGGCCAAGTTCTTCCTGGATGCTTGGTTCGATCCGATATACAGGAGTTATAACTTCCAGAAGGCGGAGAGTCATGCGTTGGAACATATTGTTCAGTGAGTTTGCCCTTTCTTCCTTCTCCTGAACATCTTGCAAAGTCTGGAAGGGCTTCTTTCACAGGGTACTGTTTGCTAATTTTTGAATCTCCAGATGGCACGGCACTATCCTCGCCAAACTAGCCATGGTCCCGCAGAACCTCCTCAACGCCTACGCAACCGGCCCCGCAAGTCCCAAAGACGGACAGTTTACAGAAGGCGATCTCGTCGCCAACTTCCCCGGCTGCGATAAAGACGGAAGGGACTGCGCCAAGGAACAAGAACAGTTCTGGGCTATACTTGAGCAGGGCAAGAATTAGGAAAGAAAATGCCGGTGTCACCTTGAGGGCAGTTGCGCAACGTAGGAAGCTTTGGAGTAGAGCGTTGGAGTAGACCTGTATTGGATATATGTGAAAGAAAGATATCGGCGTAATAGGCGTATGAGAGACGCAATTGTCCTGGAGACGAGAAAGTTAACGTGACTGAATCGACGCATTACGGAGTTCATGTACGGTGTAGACGAATTATCATTGACACAAACGTTCAGCTTCGTGGTCATGCTTCATATCCATAATATACACAACTAATCTACACACATCCCCTCCTTCCAACAACCTACCCCCCACCCTTCGGCTTCCGCTGTTTCTTAACACTAACCATACTCCTCCTCGGCCTAACCTTCCTATCCCTACTAGCCACATACTTAGGTCCACTAACCGTACTCGCACACATCGGTCGCCTCTGTCCGACAAACTTGCCCAGCGGGCTAAACACTTCCACCTCCGGATAGTCCTCCTCCCACTCCGCCATCTTATCCCTCATATCGTCTTCGTAAAACTCTTCTTCAAGGACCTCCTCTGCATCGCGTCCTTCTCCTTCCGCGCGGGCAAGTGCAGCGAACTTCCTGCTTTTACACTCTTCCTCCTCCTTGAGGCGCGTGACGCGGTCGAATTTCGCTTGATTGGGGTCTTTCTTCTCTCGGCCAGATGGCTTCCAGCCTTGAGGCCGTCGGGTCTGCGCACTAACTTCTACCCAGCCTACGCCTTCAATCAGGATATCCGTGCTCCAGACGCGGAACGGCAGGTTTTCGGGCTTCATCTTGCCTGCCACGGGAGAGGTGACGGGGCCGGCGAGTTTCTTGGTGGCATCCCATTTGAGCTGGAATTTACCGGCTGAGTCCATCTTGGGACCTACGTGGGGGGCGAGGATGGGGGCGACTTGGAGTTGACGGTCTGAGGTTTGCGCTTGGTAGTCTATGGCTTTTTCGGTGCGTGTTACGTGCGGGTGGATGGGGACGAAGGGGTGGACGAGGAAGACTAGGTCGGGGGTTGCGGGTGTGATGCGGATCAGTCCGCCCCCGAGGATGAGGGATTGCCCGGGCTTGAGGGTGTAGCGTTCGGAGTTTATGCGGTTCTTCATTACGAGGTCGTCGTGGGCGGTGGGTTGGACAAAGGTTTCTAGACCGGGTGTTGTGCGGGCGAGGCCGGGGAGGTCGATGAGTTCGCCTCTGTTGTTGCCAAAGGGGATGCGGATTGGGGAGGCGGTTGTTCCGGGGAGCGAGGAGGCGATTGGGAGGACGGGGTATGGTGTGTACGGCTGCGGTGGTGGCAGGAGTGCATCAGGATCGTCGAAATCCTCCTCTTCGGCTTCCTCCTCGAGTTCTGCGGGAGGTTTATGGAGATGTTGTTTAGGTTTGTTCTTCAGACGTTCCGTTTCGGCGTCCTCTTCGGCGAGCAGTGCTTGTACCCGGGTGAGCTCTTCTAGCGACTTTGCGCTGCTGAGCATTGCTTCACGCTCGGCTGCGCTCCGGATCTTGCGCACATCTTGGTAATCTGCTCCTCGCCCTTTCGGAAAGACAGCCTCAAAAAGGTTCGACTTCCCTACGTTGACCTTGCCAACCATCCAGCCTGCACCTCCGCGCTCCCAGATGTCTTCTTTGACTTGTTTGGTCCACCATCCCCGCTTTGCGCTCACAAGCCGCACGTTGCCCAGTCGCGCATTCGCATTCTGTCGCCCGAGCGCATCTCGAAGCACGTCTCGGACGTATGGCATCAGAACATCCACCTGCTCTTTCTTTGGCGCAAGCAGGTCAGCCCTCGTGATGATGAAGCTGACCTCTGCAATGCGATCATTGGCGACCCATCCCTTGTGTTTTGCGCGTCGGTTCTGGGTCCGAAGTTTGGGTATCCGCAGGGACGACTGAAGGTTTGGAACTATCGACAGTGGAAAATCGGCGGCATCGACGACATGGTAGATGTGATTGCGGCGGTGGGGCGACTCTGCGATGGTCTGCTGTATGGATTCGACAGTCGGGTGGTGTATAGGCGATCCTTTGCGGTGGTGGATGAGGTTATGGCATCGGTCGCAGACGGGAGTGGACGGCGTTTCGTCCTCTGGCTGTGTTTCGATGCTTTCGTCTTGAAGCCCTAATTCTCCGAGCAGCTCAGGATTCACATTTTTGAGCGCCTTGGCATATATGTCGTCCTCGACAGTCGCCTCTTTTGCCTTTTGGACACCGTCAAGGTACTCCCGTATCGAGTTGCGGTCTACGTCGTAGTACCCGGCCTCTCTCTTGTTGTATATCTGGGATGGCGCACCGCATCCTGGACATGCCCGCGGCAGTGACCTCTGGGTTGAGGATGTGTCTGGTGAGGATTTGCTAGGAGGGGCGTCGCTGGTATCGGTAGGAGCAGAAGTGGCGTTGATCTGATCCTGAGGTGCTACTAAAGTCGAATACTTCTTCAGAGGCTCTTTCTGCGGCGTTCGGCGGTGATGAGAGGCTATGGGCGCTCTGACCAGTGCGGGACAGAGGAAGAGAGGTACCGAGGCCTCATGGTTCAGCAGCGTCCTGGCTTGCCTTAGAGCTGGTCGCATAGTGTACGGGAAGTCTTACTGAATGTCAGCCCAGGTCAATCAACCCACGCGACGCGCCCGTTTGCCATGAAAATTAGTGAAGGGCGCCGGAGTTAGCAGGGATGCCTCGGCTAAGCGAATCGGAGG